AAGTCATATATTAAGGAGAAAGAGATAATATAGTGGTACATGGAAGGGAGTTTGTCGATTGAATGACATATAACCGCCATGACTCTTGTTATAGTTGTACCTTTAATTATGAATAATGATAGAACTAATTTATGTAAGGTCCTTTAATGCACATTATGACTTAAGTATTAAATCACAGAATCGTATGACATCACATGAGTCAAGTGGGAGAATGTTAGAATTAATTTAATTAATTCATTCCATTATGTGACTCACGTGAAATATAATGATGGGTCCAAATGTGATTTAATAAAATATGAAGACCTATTGGTTATTATATGAAGTTAGAATAAAATAAAGATAAAATAAAATATTAACTTACGATAACCAACTTGATGGACGTTGGTTAATAAAATAGAATAAGGGTTCTGTCTCTGGTCATAAGGTTTTTTCACGTTAAACCATCAAGAAAGCGTGAGAAGAGAAAGAAAGACAAAGAGATAGATTGGGAAAAAGAGATTAGAGAACGAGAAGATTAAAGAATATATTCTCATGGATAGTTTTCTTATTATGATTCATGTATGTTATGTTGTGAAAATCAATAATCTAAAGATCCTGTAGAGTAGTTTTCCATAATGAATTAAGAACGTAGGAAAATTACATAATGTTTTACATGGAAATCATGTATTTTGAACAAATTATGTTTGAAGACCATAAGAATAACCCAAAATGGATATGATTCATCGATCATTTAACTTACTTGGAAATGATGTATTTTGAACAAAGAATTGAAAAGAAAGCCACTTACTTGGAAATGATGTATTTTGAACAAAGAATTGGAAAAGAAAGCCACCTAATAACCCGGTTCCAAAGACACCTATATATGCAGTTACTGCAATTATGAAGAACACATGTCAGTAATCACTTAGATCTAGGAAAAGAAAATAGTAATACACCCATTATTATGAACTACATAAACTGACAAAAGTAGTTTTCATGAAACCTGTAGCAGTCTTGACATCTGAAAATATGGAAGCCACTAAAAATGCCAGCGCAATTTGTAAGTTTATATAGATAAAATAAAATACAAATTGGATGCTGTAGTCATTGATTGTGAAGATTTTTAATCCTGAATATAAAGTAAACAGCATTAAAGAAAATGGGAATATCCGAAGAAGATGAATCAATTCAATGGTTATATTCTTACCTAAGAGTGAGCCAAACATCACAAAGCACAACATGTAGATCACTGATGTGACAAGAAAATAACCATATGAAATCATCCAATATGGCCCATCGCCAAGACCATGCATTTTCATCATGATTCTTAAATTGTGTTGCTTCTCATATACCAGTGATGTCAGAACAACCTACATAAACATAGAGAGCTTGTCAAGTGGAACAATGAATGTACTATATAGATGGACAGATCTAGGACTTGATAAAATCATTTTTCAATAGAAAGCATTTATCTCTTACGAGGCTTGATTGAAAGGTACCAAAGCAAAGAAAAAGACTTACGTATGGTTTATATTAACATGGAAAACGTATATGATTGAATACGAAGAGAAATACTGTAAAAAAGCTCTAAAGTAATTGCATTATTTGCATCCAAAGTATACAAGACAAATGATGAGAGTAACTTCCGGTGTAAGAGCTCCAGAAAGCAAAGCTAAGGACTTTACCATAAGGATAAGATTACATAGAGGATTAACTTTCAGTACGGTTTAATTTAGTTTTAGATGTCCTTACCAGGGTCATAAACAAGATTATCGTTAATTGTATCCTTTTTGAGGATATTAAAATTTTAATTGAGGTTTTAAGTAAAATGGTTAACTTGGAACTTGCTTAGAAGATAGACATAGGAATCAAAGAGTTTTTTATTTAGTCCGAATAAGACAAAGCATGATTAATGCAATTTTAGCAAAATCCCAGAGGAAAGTGAATTGGAAATAAAAATGGGAAAAGGTATTATGCACATATTTCGAAATAGTAAGGATCTGTTACAAAAGAAAAAAAATAGAGGCACATTGAGCATATAATCGTGTTTGAATACACCAAGAATGCATGATATAATAGGCTTAATGCATGAATTACACATAATCAGAGGATATTTTGCTTCCCCTAAATGAGATATTCATGCCTATAAACTAAATTTTATTACAATAAGATTTATGAATGGGGATGACAAAGTGTACCTGAACAATGCTGGTACCAGTTAAAAATATCCACAAATGGGTAGAGTAAATATTCACTTATATGGAGATGGTCCTAGCAGGTATTTAACCTCAAAATTTAGTTGTGACTTCTAATATTGAAGGTTTGCTTCTTCTTTCTTTCATATTACGTTTGAAGACTTTAATATTACGTTTGTGCGATTTAATAGTAAAATTTAATTTATTTTTACCATTTGGTTTCTAAATTAAAAAAAAAATACAAGAAAATGACAATTATATAAATAACATATTCGTTACTTTTATATATATGCACAATATAATATTTTATTTTATGTGTGGAGATATTATCGTCAAAGTTTTTTATTTTTGTAAGTTTTAGTTGTGCTATATACTTTCTTTAATTTTTATAAAGGGTAAAAGTGTTTTTAATTCATATAAAAATGTCTTCTTTATTAAAATAGTCTCTGTAAAGTTTTCGTGTTACTTCGGTCCTTATAAAATGTAAACATGGTTTTTTTTTATCCATTTTTTTAATTCCGTTAAAAGTTTACTAACGTGACAAACGAAAACAGTGACGTGGCACGATTGTTTGAAACAATGTCCAGGTAAAATATTGTTTCTCTTGTAGAATGTCTTATTTATAAATTATATGTTTTTATATTGCTTCTCCAATGTTTAGTTGCTTTTAATTTTATATTTAAATGTTTTTTTATGTTATTTTTAAATACTTTTAATGTTATTTTAGATTATTTAAAAGTCAAATTTCAATTTATTAAAGAAAAATTAGTATAAAGTTATACTGATAATAATAGTGCATTATCCTGATTATACTATAAAGTTTTGGTCATAGTTAAACAAATATGTACTACATTTATATAGCCAATTTTCATTCAAGATATTGGACAAACTAGTATATATGCATATTTTAAGAATTACACTTCTATGTTGTTAATGATATTACACGCAACATATTTTAATAATTCAACTATATTTTTACACACAGTGTGATATTTTATAGTGATTTTTTAATTGATAATTTTTATTGATTTATTGAATTTGTATATCAGTGAAGTATGGGTATCTATAATTGTGCCCAATGATGTCATGTGATACATGAGGCCGATCTCACCTGGTGGGTTAAGGATTTTTGTGAGTGAGACCACATTTGTACTAAATGGATAACCTAAGTAAAGTCAATGGATGAGGATTTTTTTATGAATGTCGTGTGTGAGACCATGTTTGTGCTAAATGGACAACCTAGATATTGTCCGTCTCATCGACAACACAGAGAAAGTGATTCTCTAAGATTGTGCAACATATAAAGCAGACAGTTTGTACGTCAAAATGATTCTTCAAAAGCATCTCTAGAAAACTCCTTTATGCAAAATCAAAGGCAAGAACAATGTCCATATTTATGTCATTTAAAAACCAACCACTGAGGAGCAATGTTGTGGAATGCCCCAATTATGTTTTCATTTCCCCCACAACAAAGATCATATTGTGTAAGGCAAGTCAGTATGCTCAACTTCTTTCCATACTTTTGCACTGAGTGAGAATTATTACACACAACTTGTCGAGTAAAATTTGGTGAACAAAAGTAAAACCACCAAAATGTTTCTAGAAAGGTCTATACTTCTGGAAATTTCTAGTACTTTCAATTTGTGGAATCCATCAATAGGCCTCAACAAAATGATATAGCAGTCACCTATTGGGCCATCCATTAAGCGTGACATATTTTTGCATGGTTTTGGGTGTGACAACAGCAGACAATTCCTTGCTGAATTCACTTTTGTTCACTAAATTTTACTTCACAAACCACGTGGAATATGTCTCACTGAGTGCAAATGCATGGATGGAAATTGAGCATTTTGATTGGCCTTGCACAACATTTTCTTTGTGGGGGTGTGAAAACATAATAATGTCTTTGGGTTTGGTCTCAAATATAAATTAACTTTCACTAATTTTAATTTATTTAAAGATATCATCTCTAAAAAATCCTTCACTTAATTGGGATTTTATTTTCATTGAATCTTTTATCCTGACGTCAAGTTCCAAGAATGGTTAGTTTAGGAGAGACGTTTATTTTTAAAATGAAATTAGTAAAATTAAATGCTAAGGACTTGCTTTCTTAATTAGTGCGAATTAGCTTTGATTTTTCTTATATTCGAGACCGGAAAGAGTACAGGATAGAATATTTTGTCATGTAAATATAAATAGGAAAAGGATGTTAACTAGTTAGTCAGCTATAGTTAGTTACTATGAAGAAGGTAGGGTTGTTGTATTCTAGACAACCTTAATGTAGAGTAAGTGATAATAACATAAGTGCAGTGCGCAGTTCTTTAATCTCTCTATTTCTCTCTTCTTTCACTTTCTCCTCTCTATTATATTTTTTTTTTCCATCCTCTTTCTCTCTTTTGATGTTTCCTTCTCTTGCCCGACCTAAATTCCACATCATTGGTACGAAGTGTCGGTTGTCCATAGCTACTAGACCAAAATATTTTCACTCATGAACACAAACAAGAATGTAGACAATAATGTGAAGAGTGGAAGAACGATTCCCTCAAATTGAACAAAAACTAGCAAAGGTTAATGCACTTTCAAACCTGGTGGAGGGCATTTCTATTTAGTTGCATCAACTAACACCCCTAAAGGGATTATACCTCCACCAATCTTGGACATACCATAAAATCACTTTCAAGATTTGATGCATCTGCCGCAACAAGGCAAGGCAGAATTTAATGATAAATTTGAAGCAAATTCTTGTAAACTTCGATCATTGAGCTTAAAAATAAACTTCATTCATCTTACATGGCTGGTCTACAAGGCTATGTTGGATCAATCCATTTATTCTTGCCAAGAAGCATGAGAGAAGCTTGCAATTGGGACCGTCTGCAGAAAATAAGGCTTCAACAACATGCTGAGAGGAAACTGTCCACCAAGAACGAGTTAAAATGGCTTTTGGCAGCTATAATCCAATAGCAAGTACAAGAGATAATTAGAATGCCAGCGAGCACATTAGTAAGAAATGGATCCAAGCCAAAAAGAAGTCACTATCAGGGACAGTAAAAAAGTCCCTTTTGCACCCAAGAATTCTACAAGAATGTTGAAAGTTTTCACTGCTGAAGAAGCTTAACACAGAGGCCTGAATCTTTGTTTTTATGCCAAAAACCAAGGACCTTAGTTCCCCCAATGCAAAAGGATGCAGATCATTGAGCTTTATGAGAAAGAAGTTTTGTTATAGAGGAAGCCGAGAGTGATGATGAAGACAATTTTTTTCCTTGCACACAATTAAAGGTGTGGAAGGAACAACCTGTATGAGATTACATGGGCAAGTGGAACAAAAAAAATTACAAATCCTCATTGACAATGGAAGCACCCATGATTTCTTGGACTATGATTTTGCAAAGAGGTGTGGATGGAAGGAGAATGAGGCTGAATTGTCAACAATGGACGTAGCTGGAGGATGAAGATTAAAGGTGTATGGTATGTAGAAGAATTTTAAATGGTTAATGCAGGGGTGTAGAATTAACCTATGATTTGAAGGTAACTGAACTTCATACGAAAATTATGATGTTGGGATTTAAATAACGCATCAATAATGCATTTTCAGGCTATGATGCACTTGCTATGTACTTTTGGTACGTTGGGAAGATGCCTAAAGTTCAACCCAAGCCACCAAATAACTGCCTAAAGTTACAATCTGAAGATTTTGTGGAAGGGCAAATGCTCATGTTGCAACTGGTAGAGTGTAGAGACAAACTAATTCAGTGAATATTTGTTCACAAAAAGGATGTTGATTGTATGAGCAAGTATGTACATTTTTTGGCCATTAATGTCCATATTCAGTGACAGTTGCTCAACATTTCTTGAATCAAATTTATATTTCGCGAGGAGCACCAATGGAGATAATCAGCTATAGGAATCCTCTTTTTGTTAGTAGTATTTGGAAGGAATTCTTGAAAGCGTTGGGGATTGTAGAGAAATTATCTTCCTCGGAAAAAACCACCACTGCATATTCCCAATCTCCCAATGAATTTGGTGGTAGATTCACTTGACAGAATATTTGTAGCAAGGAAAGCAATGATGAGAGTTCTTAAACATCACTTACATCATGTTGCAAATATGATGAAGCAAAAGGCAGATTCAAGGTCTTATAGAGAATTTCATATTGGCGAGTGGGTGTTTTTGAAGCTTTCATAAACTTGCTTCTAGTACTATGGACCCTATAGAATTCTGGAAAACATGGGTTCAACTGCCTACGAGTTATAGCATTCTAAAAACCCTCAGTTCCACTCAATATTTCATGTGCCAACACCCCTCTGTTAAAATGAGACTCAATGATAATAACGTAAGTGTAGTGCGCAGTTCTTTGATCTCTCTGTTTCTCAGCTATTTTTTCCCTCTATTATTTTTCTCTTCCCCCACCTAAATTCTGTATCATATTCTAAAATTAAAATTAACCAACCATTATGCAATAAATGATGGTATCATTTTCACATTGCTATTAACTTCTGTTGTTAGTTGTTATAGACAACTGAATGCATAGTTCATGTGTGTAGAGATATCTTCACTTACAGGAAAAAGTTGCAAGATGACCCATGTAAAGAACAGAGTGCCCAGAATAGAAGATATGTCAAGCCTAAAGATGGTCTCAGGCTTTGGCATTTCCTTTACAAACTCAAATAGCATTTTGGTTCCAGCTCCAAGCAGAAACTGAAGGTAGGAATTTGAAATCTGCGTGCATATAGTAATGTCAGACCCTTATTATAACCTGTCAAAAACCAAACACTATGGGAAAATGTGTATTTCTTGAATCTACCATCCTTATGTTAGCTCAATAAAATTTTATGACAAAATTAGTTTTGCAAGTTTCAATACAGATACACCAAGTGCATCATGAACATAGTTCCACTTCTTCCATTCAAATAATGCATTTTGAAAATGTAACGGTTAAGTTTTTCTTCTTTAGGAAGTATGTAGTTACTTAGTCCAAATGTATTCCATCAATAATGAATCGAATGTGTTTTGATTTTAAAGTTAGTACTATTGTTGGAAAGCCAACTTAGTTGCAGTCACCCTAGGTCGTACTGTCTTGAAAAGGTTACCTATGAAGGAGCTGACCAGAAAGGCTGAGTGAAGCGTCATAGTGTGGAGCTACCAAGACATTGCCTCTTAGTAGGCAGAGGTCCAACATTGACTTGTGCCCTAACTAACGCCTTATAATGTTGGGAAAGTATTTTATAAGTTGAGTTTGTGGAGTTGAATTAGGCTTTAAGTTAGAATTCTAAGAACTATGATTAGAAAAATTGATAGATCATAGTACAGGCTAGCAAGTAGCACAATTTTTTTATTTTATAAGCTGATTGAGCTTTCTGTTTCATTATATTGAATTAATGGTTAGGATAACAGCAAAGAGGATGAAACAATTAAAACAAGTTTTAGCTATTTAGATATATACCAGATTTACAGAGCGAGGAATCCGCGATAATGCATTAGCACCAAATCCATTGCCTTGATTATAGGTTGAGTTGTACCATATACTGACATTATATCTATTCCGGTTTGAATTTAGAAAATCAAAAGCTGCCAAATCAATAAAAAATAAGTATTGTCTTCAGACATTGCATGAATTGAAACATAATGATAGTTAAGTACCTGAAACTATCTCATTGACTTGTCCTTCTGTGTTACCTCTTTGATAACCTTTGTATAGCTCACTGTTGATCTCAGAAGAGCTATTACGCCATAAATTTAGAGCCTGAGCACATTTGATCTCTAGATTCAATTCAAGGGAAACAAATTCAATTATTAGTAACAATACACTGTAGGTAAGATACAGGCCCTAGCTATGTCTAGAGAGAAATAAGATTGCCCATATAAAACGCCAGTGTACGGCATGCAAAATTATTCAAATAATTTCTGAGTGCATTTATTGGGCAAAATTGACCATGAGATTATTATCATTGTGCAACTAGTTCAAATGCATCATGAAGGTTGCTCTTATGGTTTTATGCTGAACCTTACACATTATTTTCTATTACTCCCATGTGATGGTTCCCCAAGCTTTTCAAAAAACATGAAAGAACCTTTAGGTTTAAGTCAAATAGCTACATGAATAAAATAACAATTGAAACACTACCCTTCACCCCCTCTAAAAAAAGGACGTGCAAACAAAAGTTTTGTAATATTCTCTAACAATCTGTCATTTGCAACCATTTATCATCAAGCTCACCACCACACTAGCAAAACTATAAGAACATATGACACCTACATCTACAGAATCCGTGGAAACCATCAAGAGTGGCACAATGGATTGCAAATTGACATTATAAAATAGCTATGAGGTGTGGCATAGCAATTTCCTGTTAACACAAGGTACATTGACAATAAAAGGATGTTCCATACCAATGTTTGCTCCTGGCACCAAGGGAAGGGAGAGTCCAGACTTCTCTTTTCCTGTGCAGTTGGTTTGTAAATAATAAATGGGGAGACCCGAAATAAAAGCAGGTTCAATATAATTGTTCCTCCGAGGTATTGATTCAGATCCCTGTATCAATATCATTTTGATGCCAACAAACATCACAAAAATAAAAATAAAACTTGAAAAAGCAGCAAAACTGAAATGTCACAATAAAATTAAGAATAAAGAATACGTGACACATACACCAAAAGTTTACTCTGCCATCCAATCACAAAAATAATTTGTTTATTAATCACTTGACAAAGTAAAAACTCGTACTGGTTATCAAAGCAAAACCTTCCACACTAACCGTAGATGTTTGTAAATCTCTAAAATTAAAAAATCAAAGTGTCAACAGTACATAATAACATCATCAATCAATCAAACCCGTCACATATGGAAATATTGTTGACTCTTAACAATTATCTTAAACGTCATTTGTAGCATACCTCTTATTGATCAACAGTGAAAAATTCTTCATATTCTTCAACGCATGGGACTTAATAAATTAAACTAAAAAACAAGGACAAAAACATACAACAAACTCACCAGTACATTCACGGCCAAACCAGCTAAGAAATCACCACCAAACTCACTTATACTCAGAGAACTTCCAAACATCTTCGCAGACACGCCTGTAAAAAAACGAATAAACACGTAATGAAAGAAATCATCAAAAGAGCAAGAAACAGAATGTGAACGGAATCCATTACACCATACTTAACGCAAAGGAGTGATTCTCTGCGGTGAAGAGCAGAGAAAGAGGACACGAGTTGGTTCTCCTGCACGATGCATCTGGCAAATCGTAAAAGGGAAGAAACCCGTTTCGGACGGCCCGGTTTGAGGGAGCCGGAAGTTGCAAGAACGGTGGCCATTCGGTGGGTTTGGAAATGGGGCACAGAGCGGCCTGTAAGGAATTGGAATACTGGACCCCACACCGCTTCTCTGACTCAGGGCACTGAGAGAGTTTGGTTCTTCTGTCGGCACAGACGCAGCCGCATTTGAAGCTGCTTTGATCGAATTGCGCGTCGACTATGAGTTGGAGCACGAAAAGCAACAAGCACAGCCCCACCGGGAACAGAATCAGCCGAACGTTGGTTTTCACGTTCCGTTTCTTTGAAAGAGGACAAAATTAAACATCAACATGATTTCATGCACTGGAATAATCACAGAAAGAAAAAAAGGAGAAGAAATTGGAACCTGAAAAGTTATGTTCTTGCGAAGAAGCGCGTTTGCTTGAGTGGCGAAGCTCGCAGGAGCAGGATTTGCCATTAGTTTTTTTGTTTGTGTGTGTGTGAAGAGTGACGACTGAATGCGTTTGTTGGTGGTGTTGTCTGTCTCAACGTTTGTTCGGAGGCAAATTACAGAAAAACATGATTACCGTTGCACACATATATATAGTGCACGCTTCGTATCTCGCTTCCATTTTTTTTATTTTTTATTTTTTTCATCTAATGGTCTGCTCCAAGTTAAATTTTCACGGTAGATATAAAATTACCGTGAATAAATAAATTAACACTATCAATGAATCAATGAATTACAAACTGATATAATGGAAAATAAAAAGTTTATTTATTTTATAGAATTATTAATTTTCTTAAAATTAGGAAATTAATTAATTAACTACGATTACTACCGTGATTTTTACCTCGTTGAAACTTAGAAGAGAAAAATTTGTATTTTATAAAGTAAAAAAATATTAGACAATTTTGTTAGGAAGCATTTTAAGAATGTTAATTAAATGAGGTTAAACGTATCAAAAGTAACTTCAATCTAATGAAACCAATTTTAATTAATTATTTCCTTTGCATATCTTCAAGAAAAACCTTCCCTTATGTATACGTATACGTTTAAATGTAATTGATTTGATTGCAAACATTAATTACAATACTAACTACTATTTACTACCATAAAGAAATTAATTACAAATTATTCAATATATTCTATGTATAAACTAGAACAATTATCTTCAACACGATTATTTTTACAAATTAAGATTTTTTTTTCAACGATAAGTTTTTCCAACAAAACTTAACTTTTTATCCCTTTTAAAACTTTAAAACAAATATACTAATAATGAAAATATTTGAATTTGATTGGAAGAGAAGATAATTAGTGAGTCGAAGTGGAGTAGAATGAAATTAATGATGCTGATTTTTCAAATAAAAGAAAAATGTGAAATGATGTAAGAAGTTATCTTAAGGGGCAAGAAACTTCCTTTTAAAACAGCAACCTTTCCTCAATTGTAGAACACTATTCTTAAAATAGTATTGGGAAATCACTAATATGCTGTTAAATGCAAAAATGTAACAACATTATCATATATAAAACAAAAGTTGGTGTACACTTAATTTAACACCTCTAATTAGGGTTAGCTTTTGCCATGTGATGTGATTTTATTCCCTCTCAAAATTTACCCCAAACGAAGGAAAAATTAATAAAACGCCCAAATCAAATTGGAAATTATTTTACTAAAAAAAATAAAAAATAAGTTAATAGTACGAATGGAATATATTATTACCTAAATTTAGGTTCGATTGCTTTATTTGACCGCAAAATAATATATTACATTTGATGACAGTTAAATACACACATTGCCTAATATGTTTTGAAAGTAAGAAACTAAATGAGAAAAATATTATTAAAGATAAAAATGAGTAAAGAGTAAAATACTACTACTTGTTATTAACAATTTAATTGATATTATTAATCATTATTTTTGGTATTATGTTTAATTAGTTATTATCATTATTATTGTTATTTAAAAAAAAAAAAACACGTTATTATATATGGAACATAATCTATGTTGCGTATCTGTCTGTCTATAAGTCATGCGTTAACCTATATTTTAAAATCTGACCAAAAGTTTAAAAACTAAAATAAAAAATTACTTCAGATATTGATAATATTAATTAGACTTTAGAAAAATTACTTGATGAATATATAATAGAGATAAGTGATATATGATTTTTTCCAACATTCTCTAAATGAATACTAACCAAAATATATATTATAAACTTTGAGTTTATGTGATATTTATCTTGATTTTTATATCATTTTAAACTATTTTAAAAAATGTTTAACAAATATATAAATCACATCCAAATAATAAACGTTAAACTTTTAAATCCTCATTTATTTTTTTTGCACAGAGATTAAACTGATTAACTTAACTTCTCTTTAAAACTTGTCAGTCACCAATCTTTTAAATTTCATCACGTTTCAACAGAATTCCTAATTCTATAATTTTAAACTTATTATATCACAATTTCATCATAGGCACTTCAGTATTTTTTAGAAAATAATTATTTAAGAAGAAAGCTATAAAAACATGTATTTTTTTTAAATGACTTAATCAGTTAAAAAAATACTTGAAAAATCAAAATTTCATTCAATAAACTTTCATGATAATACATTATAAAATAACAAAAAAAAAGTTATACGATTAATAAAAAATATGTTTAGAAATTATCTATACTTCTAATAAATCACTAATTTTAAAAACAAATCTATATAGTTAAGAAATATCATTAGAGTTTGTATAATTCTCACTAAAAAAATTCAATATTTGAGTAAAATTCATAATAACAATAAAATCATTAGTAAAAATATTTTCATAAATTATTTACAGTGGACCATTATTATACAATAAAATCATTAGTAAAATATTTTCATAAATTATTTACAGTGGACCATTATTATACATGATGCACCATAAATTTGGTTTCTTTATTGGATTTATGGTACTTAATTTTATTTAATCAACGACCAAATTGCATTTAAATTGGATTAAATTAAGCTGCATATTTGTATGCTATATATTTACTTTCTTCTCAAATATTCCAATCCTTCTTAGCAATAACATTTTGGCAATCCCCTCCTTTCCCTTCCTCTATTGATTCCAATCCTTCTTAGCAATAACATTTTGGCAATCCCCTCCTTTCCCTTCCTCTATTGATGAAGAAATGATAAGGGGGAGTTTTCTAGTTCTACCATATCTTTATTTTTCATTAGCTTAATTTAAATCCCCCTAAGTTGAATTGAGTAGAGTTAATTTTAGTTGACTTGTTGACCTTGACTTAGGTTGACCTTTTTACTAGGGTTGAGTTGACCCAAGTCAACATTGCTAATCTAGTTTTATTTGTATGTCTTGTAGGTTAAGCATGAATTAAGAGGATGATTAGGACTCTATACATGACAAGCTAAGATTGGATGACATGTGCATGAAGTGGAAAGTATAAAACATAAAACAAAAACATAAAGAGAAAGATGTTTTATGGTAGTAAATAAGACAAATGTGGTCTCCTCCTTAATCTTAACCAAGAATCATCATAGGAAGTTCAACATTTCATTTGTCTTTTCCTTGCTTTCATGTTAGGTTTGTAAAAGATACTTTTTAGGGTTTGCAAATGTACCATTTTAGAACTTTTGTTATTTGTTAAGAAACCCCCAAGACTATCTATTTAAGAGGTGTTTCTTCTCCTTTGTAGGGGTTGAACATTTGAAATCAAAATACTCCTTTATCCAACCATATTTCCGTGAGTATCTTCTCCTTAAGGTGGAGACTTCATGACCTTATCTTGCTCCTAAACAAGTGACGATTTCACCACTTATTTCTTGAATTTGTGTGTCTACGTGACGTGTTTCCTCACCATTACCATCTGTTAGATATTGTTTAGATATTATTTGATATTGTTAAGATATTGTTAGATATTGGTAACCATAATATCAAACAATATCTTCTGTTTATTCTGTTACTTTCAGTTACTCTTTTAGTTGCATCTCTCTACTATAAATAGATCACCCTATGTGTGATTTATACACAAGGGAAATTAATTCCAAACCCTATTTTCTCTATATTCAACATGGTATCTAGAGCTTAAGGTTATCCTGAATTTTTTTTTTTCCGCCTTTTGTCCACTGTTGGAGCCGCCCCACCGCTGCTGGTAAACTGATCCTCCACATCAGAAAAGAATTATCTTTGTTACTGAATTTTATTTGGTAGTGTGAAAGTGCATGTTTAGGAAAGTTCTGGCAAGGAAAGACTTGGTATTTAAGTGTGTTCATTAGTGACCCACCTCTCTTTCCTGGGAACTTACCTGGTGTACTAGTTCACGTTGCTGTCACCGTTGTCGCTGGAGTAGTCACCGGATCCGCCGTTGCCGGAGAATTCGCCAGAGTTTCATTTTTTTTTTTTTACCGGTGACATATGATTTTGCTTGTCTCGGTCAGGGTTTGTTCCCCCGTTCTTCATGACTTCTTCCACTATTTCCAAATTTGTTAACGATTCTTTTGTGTTGACATCCCATCGTGATGACCGGGCTTGCCCTCGCAAACAGGAAAAAGGGTGTCCTAAGTGTGAACATTGTGGGATCTTCCTTCTTCTGTTGCATCCAACATGCCTGCTATGTTCAATAAATTTCTCGAATGGTATAAGGATCAACAGTCTTCTAGTTCCACTATATCTGTCACACATACAAATACGTATTTTGCTGGTCTGACCCAATCATTTTCTCCTGGTCCTTGGGTTTTTGATTCGGGAGCCACTGATCATATTACTGGTAACAAATCTTTGTTCTCCTCTTTATCCTCTCCTAATCATTTACCTTCTGTTACACTGGCTGATGGTTCTAGAGTATCATCTCATGATGTTGGAACGGTTAAACTTTTTTCTTCTTTAACCATTGATAACGTTCTTTATGTCCCTGAGTCTCTTTTTAACCTGTTGTCCATCAGTCGTCTAACTCGTTCTCTTGATTGTGTTGTTACTTTTACCAACAATTTTGTGTGTTTACAGGACCGGAGTTTGAAACAGGTGATTGACACAGGATGTGAGTCTCATGGTCTTTATTATCTACGTCCCTCTACACATGTTAGTACAGTTATGGAGTCTCCCTCTCTTCTTCATGCTCATTTAGGTCATTCAAGTCTTGCCAAGTTACAGAAATTTGTCCCTGCCTTGTCCAACTTATCTAGTTTGGCGTGTGAGTCATATCAATTAGGCAAGCATAGTCGTACTTCCTTTCCTCGTAGTTTCACACGTGGTGCTTCGTCTCCTTTTGCCGTGGTTCACTCTGATATTTGGGGACCTAGCCGCGTTAAGTCTACTTTAGGTTTTCAATACTTTGTTACTTTCATTGATGATTATTCCAGATGCACTTGCTTATTTTTGATGAAAAATCGTTCTGAATTATTTCATATCTTTCAAACTTTTTTTAATGAAATTCAAACTCAGTTCGGTGTTTCTATTAGAGTTTTGCGTAGTGATAATGGTCGTGAATATCTTTCTCATTCTTTTAAACAATTCATGGCTTCTCACGGTATTTTGCATCAAACTTCTTGTGCTTATACACCTCAACAAAATGGTGTAGCTGAATGTAAAAATAGACATCTTATTGAAACAACTCGCACACTTTTAATTCATGGAGATGTTCCTCAACATTTTTGGAATGATGATCTTCTTACTGCATGTTATCTCATTAATCGCATGCCTTCTTCGGTTTTAGATAATAAAATACCTCATTCCATTTTATTCCCTCATGAACCACTTCATCCTTTACCTCTGAAAGTTTTCGGGTCTATATGTTTTGTTCATAATTTCAGTTCTGGTCTTGACAAGCTTTCTCCTAGATCACATAAATGTGTTTTCTTAGGGTTTACAAGATCACAAAAAGGATACAAATGTTTTTCTCCTTCTCTTAATCGTTATTTTGTGTCAAAAGATGTCACATTTGATGAGTTGTCTCTTTATTTTAAAAGTCAATCTTCACCTCTGTCTCCATCCAATCTTGTCAACACTCCTAATACATTTAATGTTCATGTTGTTTGTGACCCTCTAACTGTGTCTTCTTCACCATTAGTTCCTGCTCCGCAATCAGCTTCTTCTCCACTGCCTCTTCAGATTTATAGTTCTCGAAACCAATCACAACCACCACCATCTGACTCTACTCAAGTGTCAACTACTCTGTCTCTTCCGGATCTGACACATGAGTCTGACCTTCCCATTGCCCTCCGAAAAGGTATTCGTTCTACACGTAATCCCTCTCCCCATTATATTGCTTGGAGTTATCATCGACTGTCATTACTTTTTTATACATGTCTTTCCTCTATTTCTTCTGTGACCATTCCAAAAATTGTTCGTGAAGCTTTAGCCCATCCTGGTTGGCGTCAGGTCATGCTAGATGAACTAAGTGCTCTTTATAATAGTGGAACTTGGGAATTGGTCTCGTTATCGTCTAGGAAATCTATTGTTGGTTGCAGGTGGGTGTTTGCTATCAAAGTTGGACCTGATGGTACTATTGATCGCCTCAAAGCTCGTCTTGTGGCCAAAGGTTATACTCAACTTTTTGGGTTGGATTATGGAGATACCTTTTTCCCTGTGGCAAAGATGGTTTCTGTTTGTTTATTTATCGTCATGACTGCTCTTCAACAATGGTCTCTTTATCAACTGGATGTTAAAAATGTTTTTCTCAATGGTGATTTGCAAGAAGAAATATATATGGAGCAACCTCCTGGGTTTGTTGCTCAGGGGGAGTCTTCTGGGATGGTATGTCGTCTTCGCAAATCCCTATATGGCCTAAAACAGTCTCCTAGGGCTTGGTTTGGAAAGTTTAGCAAGGTTGTTCAACAATTTGGTATGACTCGGTGTGAATCAGATCATTCTGTCTTTTATCGACACTCGAGTGCTGGATGTGTTTACTTGATAGTATATGTTGATGACATCGTTCTTACAGGTAGTGACAACCATGACATCTCTCAGTTGAAACAACATCTCTGTCACCATTTTCAGATCAAAGATCTTGGCAAACTTAGATATTTCTTAGGTATTGAGGTGGCACAGTCCAATGATGGTATTGTTATATCTCAGAGGAAGTATGCCATATATATTTTGGAGGAAACTGGGTTGATGAGTTCAAAGTCTGTTGATACACCCATGGATCCCAATACTAAACTTCTACCAAATCAGGGGGAGCCTATATCTGATCCTAAGCAGTATAGAAGATTGGTTGGAAAATTGAATTATCTTACAGTTACTCGTCCTGACATTTCCTTTGCAGTCAGTGTGGTAAGTCAATTTCTTAATTCATCATGTGAAGATCATTGGAATGCAGTCATTCGTATTTTGAAGTATATTAAAGGATCTCCTGGAAAATGATTGTTATATGGTTCTAATAATCATACAAGATTTGTTTGCTACTCAAATGCTGATTGGGCAGGATCTCCTTCGGATAGAAGATCTACATCTGGATATTGTGTCTCCATTGGTGGTAACTTGATCTCATGGAAAAGTAAGAAACAAAGTGGTGTGGCAAGATCCAGTGCAGAAGCAGAATATAGAGTTATGGTCTCAGCTTCCTGTGAACTTGTTTGGCTCAAGCAATTGCTTAGAGAGTTACAATTTGGAGATGTCACTCAAATGACACTTGTGTGTGACAATCAGTCTGCTTCTTCATATTAGTTCTAATTCTGTCTTTCATGAGAGGACCAAACACATTGAGATTGACTGTCATTTTATTCGAGAAAAGATTATGTCCGGAGATATCAAGACCGAGTTTGTTAACTCAAGTGATCAGTTAGCGAGATATTTTTACTAAATCTTTACGGGGTCCTAGAATTGATTATATTTGTAACAAGTTTAGCACATACGATTTGTATGCTCCGAGCTTGAGGGGAGTGTTAGATATTGTTTAGATATTATTTGATATTGTTAAGATATTGTTAGATATTGGTAACCACAATATCAAACAATATCTTCTGTTTATTCTGTTACTTTCAGTTACTCTTTTAGTTGTATCTCTACTATAAATAAACCACCCTATGTGTGATTTATACACAAGGAAAATTAATTTCAAACCCTATTTTCTCTATATTCAACACCATCTTTTATATCTTACATTTTATTATTCTTTTCTTCTATTTTTACTCCTTGATCATGTGTTATTTTGCTAATCAATATTAATTTTATTCACTTCTCACTTGAGCAGTTGAAAATGCACATTCACATCTAAATAGTTTATTATCTTAATGTTCAATGAGAATTTTTCCTAAATCTTGTTAAGTAATCCAATACCCTATTTCAAAAAACTAAACTGAATCTACTTCATCTCGTCAATCTCTAAGACTCCTATAACAATTTCCTCTTCATCACACCATCTTCTACATCTCTTGTTGGCTCAATCTCGACACCCAAAAACCTCCTCTAATGGCACGTCCAACAAAAACAAGAGAAAATAGATATGAGAAAATGCAAACAAATCTAATACCTTCAACTAGATTCATACAATGAAGGTTTTATACGACAATAATATACAATCACATAGGAGTCAAACAAATCAGGTAAAGGGGGAGGTTTTTGTGGAGGCAAAATTAGAGACTATCAACCACGAAAGCATAATGAGGTCATAGACTAAGACGATAATGTTGAAAGCAAGCAGAAAAAATCACTTCTAATGATCGGAGAGTTACTAGACAAAAATGAGAAGAATAAATATTATTGTGCAATAGATCTATAATAACAATCTATTAGTTTATTGTTTTAGCGCATGATAGACCACGTTCATACTGATCCACCCTAGCCTCCATCTTTTTTATGTAGTTAAAAAGATCATCAATTTTACAATATATATACTACTTATAAATACCTTTTAAGATTCTTCCTAATATATTGAATCAAAATCACTTCCATATTTCACAAAATCAAATATTGCATTTAAATATGCTATTCTATTTTCAAATGATGAACTAGACAAATAAAATTTAAATTTCATACATACTTGCATTGTATCTTAACTAAAAAGATCATAATTAGACAGATGTACTATTAGAAGATATTATATTAAACCCATAATTCCCTGCATAGAAAATCCAAGACTGTAACTTCCATGATTTAGTAAAATGTCAAGATAGTTTGAATAAAGTTGTTTTAATTGATTACGTTAATTAACCCTCATATGGTCAGAGGAAATTCTTTGAAATGTGCCAATCTTCAATAGACACAATGAATGCAATTCAATGGCCAATCCTCGGCTTGGCATTAGGGTAGTTCCTTTCCACACTCATCCACCGTTTCTATTTCTTAGCATCAACGGTCCTTAACACGAAACCGTATGCAAATTGAACCTTTAAAAGATTGCCACCCTAGATTCGCGAGATAAGTCAAGAGAACAGAACAAAATACGTTATGGTTGACGATGGGTTGCTGAAATCATGCCCTGGTTACCAGGTCACACTTCAGGGCGGAACAGCAAAGTACTGGTAACATAACAAGTGCCAAGGTACGTGCTAATGATATGACCAAACACACTCAAAAGCAAAACAAAGCACAAAATTGACAGCCCAGAAATCATGCTGAAAAGATAATTAAATTTAGGTATAGTTGCAGCATGCAAAACTAGAAACCTATAATGTACAAATCACCTTCAAAGCCCAAAATGCAGCAAATGAAGAAACAACCTGAATGCAAGCACACTATAGTCCTATCAATTCAACAAATCTCATCAAAGATACATATAAACCACACACGAGTTTCGACGTCCTCATGTTCCACTCCAGAACATCATTCATCCTCAAATTACCTCCTCCACTCTGCTTGAATTACCTTTCCTGCAACACAAACAGACCCACTGATGATTATCATTCACAGTAAGACGCGCCAGAATTTAACTGATAATATAAGGCACTACACTGTTTCAGAATTTGCGATCGAGCCTAGTTTGGCATGATTAAGCTAATGAGCAATTTAGCTAACAGAATTTTAAATAGGTGAACTTATTGTGCAATATATTTAAAGCATTACACTTTTTAAGTGAATTTATCAAAAAACTATATAGCAAGAACTAAATCATACCATTCCCATCTCTAGAAGATGATACAGTTCTGTCACTTCTGTTGCCCCCTTTGCCACCTGATTGAACTGGTCTATGTGTCCTAGGTGAATGCGAACTAATTTTGCCGTTGGTTGAGGATGGTAAAGAATGTCGACGGGTCTGGTTGTTTCTTTCATTTCCATCTTGTACAAATCTTGGGGATCCTTGTGCCCTCAACTTTGCCTTTGCAGATTCAGTTGCTGCCATGTAACTTGGTAGTGTTGGACTATGCTGTAGTCCATTCTCTGCCCGTTCCTGCTTTGCTACAATTGAGGCTTTTCGGTTTGGTTTCTGTTTTTCACTGCCTATTGGATCTTCCATGTGACTAAAATCTCCATTTGTTAAGTGAGAATTTTCATCTTTACAAATAATAATAGGCTCTGGCAAATCTATGGGCTCATTTTCCACTTCATCAGAAATGTTTTTATCTTTAGTAGTAATTTCAGTCAAGGGCTTTGATTCCACGACAGTCAAGGGCTTCGATTCCACAGTCACTTGAATACTGCTTGGTGCGTCAAACACTTCATTACTAACTGAAAGTCTTGGAGTAGTTTCTATATCTGGCACACTGGGAATAGTTAATGCTGCTTCCTTCTTGATATTCTCATTAGAACTAGTGACCTCCTGTTCTGAAACAGCAAGGGATGAGGTAACTGTTGCCTTTTCTAAATGCTCCTTTGGCATCTCAGATTCAACTTCTGAAGGAACAAAATTCTCAACGGGATTATGAACCTTTCGCAAGTTACGTTTAACCTTTTCAAGCTCACTTTGTGGATTTTCCTGCACGGGATCTGAAGGTTGACTTGGAATTTTCCTTGTGTTTCGTTTTGGTTTTTCAAATTCAGGATTTGCTTGCACTGGGACAGAGTCAAAAGTCGAAGTAGGAAGCTTCCTGTTAGTACGTTTTGACTTGCTCGTTTGAGTATCTCCAACAGTAATACTGCCATGCTTTCTTTGAGCCTTAGTATCTCGAATTTTCTTGGGTTGTGGAACTGGTTTCCAAAATTGAGATGCTGACCAGCGCTCCAACCAATTTAGGACTGAATTTGGATCACCGGGAACATAGAGCAAACGCAGTGCCATTATAGTAGTTGACGAAGTAAGAAGCTGCAACAAACAAACAGCATTAGCACATGCCCTAAACTGAGATCATAAAGACAAACTATAATAGAACTAAATATATTGACATAGAAATATAGAAAATAAATTATATTCACCCTTAAACTAGAGTGAGTTAATATAAGCATAGAACATATATTAAATTTAGGAAGAAAAGCCCTTTCTCACTTTACAGACAAGTTCACCAGATAGGAAATTAAACCAAACAAAAGAATGGGCAAGAGCAACATTTCATACAAACCCACTTAAAAAAGACACACTTGAACATTTTACGACGAGTAATCATTTTTTTTTCTATATTAATTCTCCCACCACCTGCACATACATCCCAGGTGCATCAAAGCCTATTACTCCTTCCTGTGACCGACTTCACTGTGTTTTTATCACAAAATTAGCAGTAAATAAATTGCTCACTCTATTCAAATTGAGCATGCACACCCTTTGGTATGCCTAACAACCACAAACTTGATAAAAGAAACTGTAACTTCAAATCTATGAGCCCAGCCCCCACATTCATGCAAAATGTTCCTCTTACTATAGACTATGTAAGTCAACAACAAAAACAAAATTGTGATGAACAGCACATATTGGAGAGTATTGAAAGGAGTGCTTGAAATTATGTGTAGTATACACATGAATATTTTTATTTATATGAAGAAGCTATCCCGTAATAAGATACAAAATCAATGATAAACAATGAGAAATTTTTGCTTAGATATTTTCCTATTTGATGTAATCAAATCGTATCATATTACCCTATTTAATGTCAATAAATCATATATTTAAAACTCACCCTAATGCTGAAGCATATGTATCATATAAGTCAAGTTTGTTACAAATGTCATGACATAAGACTCCTTGAGAGACTTAGTGAACATGTCAGCCAGTTCGTTGCAAGAGCTAACAAAGTCAATAATGACAGTTTCACACATGGTGCAGGTGTGTGAAGATGACATGGCAAGAGGTTAGTGGGGCAGCAGTGGGCATTGGATTCCGAAGTTGTTGGAGAACAAAAAATGCTTGGAGGGTACAAAGGCTGCTGGAGAGAGCGAAAATGGTTAGACGGTATGTAGCTGCCAAAGAGAAAAAAAGGCTCAAAGGAAACAAACAATGGCTACCGAAAAGCTAAAAATGCTCTTTTATGGCTGCTGAAGACAAAAAATGGACTGTGTATGGTGGGTCCAGCAGCTGCCAAAGGGCAAAACTGCTCAAAGAGCATGGTGGCTAGTAGAGAGAAAAAAAATGCTCAGAGAGCATAATTGCTGTCAGAGAGTAAAAAAGGCCAAGAGAGCACAGTGGCTGAAAGAGAGCAAATCCGGAGACAGTGGTGACTACCAACGAGCGAAAAAATTGGAGGATGCGGTGACTGCTGGGGAGAAAGTGCCCTTAAAAAAGATGCTTGAAGGGCACGACAGCTGCCCTAGAGCAAAATTGTTGCCACAAATATTATTTACCCAACAAAAGAAAGTCGGAGAGGCAAAGTCAGGCCAATGCATCTACACAAAAAGTTATGACTTAACAACGGATTAGTAGCAAAACATGTAACTAAGGATGGTACTGCTATGATACCAAATATTGAAAGGATTGTTGATAATTGTATGTAATGTACACAGGAGCATACTTATTTATAATGAAGAAGAGATACAGTGATAAAGAATAAAATCAATAATTAATAATGACAAATATTTGCTTAGATATTTCCCTATTTGATGTACTCAAATCATATCATATATCCCTATTTTAATATAATCAAATCGTGAGTAATTCTTATATGCATATACACCTACCGCATCATATTTAAACACACTCACTTAAAATTTGACAAGTTATCAAGCTTCTTTTGATCTTGTTTTCTCAGTGTTCTACCCCTTTCCCTTTTCTCTTTCTTTCCCTTTCTTCCATTGCTTCCTCACAAGTAACACCACAAGAGGCCAATTACGTAGTTGCTATGACTGTGATTGGATGACTCCTGCTCCCAAACACACATTTCATATCCTCAATCAACAATTCCTCCATGCTCCCTTTCGCTCAAGACTTTAAACACTTGCACGTTTTCAATTTCATTTCTCATTTTCTCTTATTTGCTTGCAAGACTTTGTTCCTTTTGCTGCTCAGACGAATGGTGCCAATTTGATAGTCATTTTGATGGGAGGGTAGCATTGGCAAGGAGTGATGGGGTTTCGTGTAGGGGTGCACAACTGAAATTTGCTTCAATTACTATGGAATTTGTAGAAGCTAGTGTGAAGCATAAAATCTATTCTTTTAATCTTAGTTAGTTTTTGTCATTTCTAGTGAAGAAGCAATAAAAGAGAGAGAAAGAAAGTGGAAAGGGAGGAGGAAGACCACACAGAGAAAACCAGATCACCAAAAAACTTGATGACTTGGAAACAGCAGGTGTGAGCAAATATGAGATGGAGATTAAGTGTGCATATAAGAATTACTCATCAAATCATATCTGCCACAGAGAACGGGAAAGAGCTGGCCATACATGACCATTTTTAGGCCCAATTTCATGTTGAAGGTGATGATGCTGAAACTGATTGTGTATAGAGTAGTTTACAGTTGTGACCAATTTAGTTCCGTTGTATCTAACTATCTGCAGTCAGTTAGTTAGGTTAGCTGTAGTCTAGTCAGCATAGCTTGTTGTGCAAGCTATTCTGTTAGTTAGCTATGCTGAACTCTAGTCAGCATAGCTTGTACTTCAAAACTGGTAATGCAAATTCATTTTTATTTACATAAACCTTCTTCTTTCAACTTAGTTATAGTTTCTTCACAAACAGTCAGTTTTACACATCTATAAATAGATGATATTTGAAATCCTGAGGAGCCACAAAAGAAAATATAGATCTTTGGCCCATACTATAAATCCTGTTGTTCACTCAGGACTAAAAATTGCAGGCGTTTATATGATTATTTTACACGAAAACTAGCTAAGTATTAATTGAAAAAAAAAAAAAAAAAACACTAGTGTTACCTGATGTAAACTAATAGCATTAGTGTAGCAAAAATTTTACAATTTTCTTGGAATTGGTCCCTGTTTAGAGAAATTTACAGTGTGTTTTCCTCTGTCTCTCACGATGTTGCTTTCTCACTACAGAAACTTCTTACACATAACAAAAAAAATACACTGCTCCTTTTTATAAAATCCAATTAACTAATTTACTAGGAGAAATTACTTAATTTAGATATTAACATTAAATTTGTCTTAAATTTATATGTTTTCTCCAAATCTACCCTAAATATTAATGAGACATGCTTCTATTATTTTTTTCAAATATTTTTATTCTATTTAATTATTTTTAATCTCTCTCACCATAATATATTAATTGCTCTCATTGAAGTACTCCGCATACAAGGCACATTAGACTTCAAAAAATCTTAAAACACTAATGTTTTCTATCCACTATTTATTGTACTTAGAGAAATGTGATTAATGGTATTTTGTAAAAAAAAAAAAAAAAAAAAAAACAAAGCAAAATCTCTACTTTAGTTCTCCAGAGGTGGCACACTATTGTACATTCCAGAATGAAACTTACACAGAATAAGTAGCCACAAAAAATAAAGAACACAACATAAATATGGTGTAATGTAAGTTACCTTACGAATGAAAGCATTTGCTGACAGCTTTGTGATTTTCGTTGATATAGCAATTGGCTTGACAAGTTTGCTATCCTAAAATACAAGAGATTGAGAAGGAAAATCATTAGCAGCAGTTAAAAATACTTTACATGGAATCTCCCCCACCCACTCTCATCCCTGATCCCTGACTTGTGTTGTGAACACTAAAAAACTTTAAGTTATCTAACAATAGCTAACTGGTGCACTTCCCAACAAGCAAAAGAAACTCATTACAAAATTTACAGATTGTCGACTCAGCAATATTTCATCATCTACACTGATTAGAAAAGAGAAAAATGTTGAATTCGATCTTAAAACCCAGTATATAGCACCAACTTCTCCTGATTATGACAAAAGACCATCTTATTTCTAGTAGTAAAGAATAATTCAAAATAAACCTGTTGTTTAGCACACAGTAAGGTTCTTTTTTTAAGTGCTCATGTTTTCGTATTAAATAAAACCATTGAGCTCTAATGTGACCAAGATAATCAGGTATATTATATATCTCCACCGCAGCCCACCCAAAAATCAAAAGAATACTCTGACCAAGACAAAATGCACATTTATCACTTGCATACTTTTCCCCCACAAAGGAAGTTTAACCGGAAGAACAATATGAGGAACTAATGAAAATTCACAGAGAATTCAATTTCCAAAAAAATTACCAGAGGGTTAACTTTATTGTACTTCTCAAGGATTTCAAATCCAACATTAGACTGTCTAACTGTTCCTCCACGAACAAGTGCTTGAAACTTGACAATACCATACATAGAGCATAATGTAACAACAGCTTGTCTCCTAACCAAGTGCCCACGAATGAGTGCTTGCAACCTTATTATGCCTTTCAGGGCCCTAAATGCTCTCCGAGCCTTCATGAAAGAACTTCCATTAGTTGAGGAACAATACCATCAAATACCACTCATAACAACTCATACAATAAAAACTCCACAAAGATAGTTCCTATAAGTAAAGAAAGTGTTTGTATGCCATCCTTTCATGAACATATTTATCAATTATCAATTTATGAGAGAAGCATTGAAGAACTTAAGCAAGCAACAGATTTACTTGAGCAAGCAACCTTGTATATATAGATTAAAACATAGTTTTTATATTTACAGTTGAATTTTGTTTTTAGACCAAAATACATTTGCTATTTAATCAGTGAATTGCATACCAAATAACCCCTGAAAGCAGCTTGTGCCTTAGTTGCAGCTTCCTCCAGCCTCATTTTGTCTGGATCTACTGCATCATCTTCATTAGTAGACCCTACTAAGTCTATTTCTTGAGTGCCAGGTAAAACATTTTCTGCTTCTTTGTTTTCCAGCTCTTGGACTTCATCATGATTGGCAGTAGTGTTGGAGGTTGGTTCTAATACAAAGTTAGTTTCTGGCACCTTGGAGGTCACTATTACTCCTTCCTTTTTATTAACAAGCTTCTAAATAAAATTATAGTAAGCCAAGTCAGGTATTTCATTACAGAAGGGAAAGATCATATTAAATAATATCATTTACGTTGAGAAAAATAATTTAAGTGATACTTTGAACAATATAACACCATCTATAATTCCTGGCAATATATGACTAATCGTAGGTTGTTTGCAAATTCTGCCAAGTGCTAACAAGGTCAGCAAAGTGCAAAAATAGCAACAAAGTTATGTCCCACAAAAACAGCACCAAACCAGAATGTACCATATAATGGAGAACAAAATTTGTGTTTTCTTCCTCCTGCTTTCATTCTCTATATACATAACAACATTTGATTAACAGTATTGATGATGCCATTTGCATTAAAATTTAAAGGAAAAGGAGTGCCAGCAACAAGCACTCTAACACAATCTCCTATTGATTGAAATTTGTTGGAAATGACAAAGATTGTGTACGTCTCACTTCTTATTTAATGCATCTCATTCATGATTTGTAATTTTCAATAAAAGAAATGTCAAAAAGAGTGTTTGAGTGTGTTGCATTTTTCTTGAAGAAAAGTAGATTTGGCTATTCATGTCACGAAAAAAAAAATGATTGTAATTTGAAAGAATATTAGTGATTGTATTCATGAAATATAACAAAGAACAGCTTGGTGAAGTTGCCTTAACTATCACAATATACCTCTCTTCCTTTTGAAATATTTGATCTGGATGATTTTTTCCCGAACAGTACAGTTTTGATCCATTTTCCAGGTGACTTCCCCATTGTGGGACCAGGACCTGTAAAAGAAGGTAAAACTGATCTCTCAATTGATTCCTATGATTGTTGCTTCATATTAGTAAATTTGAAAGTATGCAAGTAATTGATCCTGAAATCATTGCAAGATGCCAGCCTGCTTGGCTGCTTAACTAGATCGCCAAATTCAGCTAATTTTCTGCAACTAAGAAAATCTACTGTGAACTCTTCAGTTTCCTTAGTTAGCCAAGCATATATGTGGGATAAATCTTGAAATTGGCATGCCTCCATTTGGTACGCAAAAGTATTCAGAGAAAACAAAAACGTTGTGATTTTCAGAAAGAAAAGTTTTTCAGTGTTCAGGATAGGAGATCACTTAAAAGTTATTATAATATTCAAGCAACACCTGAGGAAACATGACAAAGATAATATAGAAGTAATAGACCTTCAAAAAAAAAGTACCCGTTCATAAAAGCTCATCTGGCGATGGCTTCTCAATAAATTTTATTATGCAAAGAAAATAACTTATATGCTAATAACTTTTTTCCCTTTCGACAATAAATTTTAGGTGAAACAAAACAGCAGCTTTTTCTTTTCAGTGAAGATGTTGTTAGTCTCAGAATAAATAACTTTCCTTATAAAAAAAAAAAAAGTCAATGAATATGTAATCAACAATATACTTTCAAAAAATGAAATCAACAATAGAAAAAATATAATTTCTCTAATCAAAACCAAGTATTATCAACAATTTGGGTTGACATAATTAATGACCAATCAACAAACAACAGTAAGTAGACATAGACATCATGCACAATTAGTACCATCTTTTATCTGATGCTATAATACAGCTCAAAAAAAATGTTATCACGTCTATATCCTATTTAATACGATGCACCGCCACTCTTTCACTTTTTTCTAACCTCCACCGCTAAACCTCTACTAACAAAACAAAAGCGCTGTAAGCCACCGACAATCATAGCGTACGGAAACGAAATGATTTAAAAAAACAAAAACAAAAACACAAGGCAAGCTACGTTTGATCTCTCGAGCCCGAAGCTCCTGCCTGCAGAGTTTCGATTGAGCACTACAAATCTAAACAAATTACAACTTGACAGTAATCAATCAAAAACACAGAAGCACAAAACAAAACAAAAAAATTGAAACCATTTTCACTAGAAATGCCGCAAAACTGGAAATGTATTAACGAACAGCAAAAAAAAAAAAAAAGTATTTTAAAATGCACCAATACAGAAACCCTAGAATCCACAAGATCTGCTACGTGATGTAACTAGGAGGCACAGAACACTGCTCGGTCCTTGAATCAGTGTCTGAAATTGATGCTAACAAGCTAGAATGAGGCTAGATCTGAGGATTACCTGACCAATGTGGAACCTTTTCACTTCAAATCTACCATTCCTGAGAAACACAACCAAACAATGAAATTACAAAATTAAAATAATCATTCATTTCCCCATTTGTTTAGTTTACCATTTTAGAGCAAGGGGAGAAATATATACAGTGGAGTGTACAAGAGAAGATAGAGAAAACAAGAAGGTTGTGTACCATGGAAAAGACAGAGAGAGAACATTGATCTAAAGCTGCATAAATTTTGTGGTTGCTTTGTTTGTTGCTCTCTGTAAACTGTGCTAGCTGGATGAGTGAAATTTGAAAAAACAAAAATGTCTGAAAGAAAACTGAAAAGCTTGGATAAGTTGTAGAGAAATCACCACGTGTCATTCATGCACACGCTGTACCCTCGTTCTAGCCGTTTGATGAGAAGACTTCGTGGGGTTTGAATCGTTGAGCGAACAGATTGGCTTAATCAAAGGGTGGAAATGAGAGTTTGCGCTGTAGTCGAGGACACGCTAAGAAAACAAAAAAGTGGCTGTGATTTAATCGATGGTAGTTTCTGGGAGTCCCAGTGCAGTTACTTCAAAACGAAGTGTTCCATTTTCTTTAATCTTTATTCCAAAGCATAAGGAAATGACGTTTACGCCCCCGCGCCTCGGACTGTGCTTCACGTGTGGAGGCGCGTGTGAGAGAGTTGAACCGTTGGTGAAATGAGGTGGACGGCGGAGATGAAAGCGCGTGGTGTGTATTGAAGGTGGTGAGCGTGGTGCGAGGTATGGAAGCCACGCTGGCAAGAATAGTGTAGGAGAAAGATGGAGGAGGATGCAAGGGATGGTAGTGAAGTGAAGTTAGAGATGTTCTTGAGAATTGTAAGTATTGATGTTACCTAATTACCTATTATCATTTATATACCTGCTACCTGCATACAAACTCTTAACTCTCTTAATTATACTCCACGCATTTGAATGTTCTTGAGAATTTGATTAAGTTGTTTAGATTTGTATAAGTGGTGAATATCATTTGAAATATTGAAGATATGTATTATTTTTTTCTATTATATATTTGATTTTTATTTTCTTCATTTGATTGAGAATTTCATGAGTGTTTATCGTTTAGCAGTGGGTAGGCCTTTTAAGGAAAAACATATTCTTTTATAACAAAAATGCTACATATTATTTTTAGAATAATTAAATCAGTTTATCTAAATATATATATATATATATATATATATATGATTAAAATTAACAGATTAATTCATTTTTTCTCAGTTAATTTTAAATATATATGGATGAATTGATTCTATAATCATGATTGGATAATATTTATATGGGTGACTTGTTTCTATGAACATTGTTAGATAATATATATATATATATATATATATATATATATATAATCATAAAACTATTAAATTATATTTATTGAATGAGAATAATTAAAAAACTAATAAAATAATTAATAATATAGAGAAAATTTATAAAATATATTAAATATATCAAACATAAATATTTATTATAATTATTATATAAAAAATATATTTTACTTTGAAATTTGAAATTTTATAAAAGATTTATTAAGCATCCATTATCAAATTATAAAATAAGTTTAAATTGAGATCAATAAAACTTTTATTTAACCTATATTTTAAATAGACTAAAATTAAGGTAAGTTCGAAGAATTTTTAGATTAATCTATATTTATTAATAATTATCATAATTAAAAAAAACAATACTAAAAACAGTTTTACCAATCTTAACGTTTATTAATTAGACAAAAAAAAGTACTTAAATCATTTTGAACGTTATATTTATAATAAACACGATATTATTTGAAAATTTCGTAAAACAATTTTCATCATTTTGTAAAATTTGAATACAGCTTTTTTACACATTTTACCATCATATATTTTCAGTTTTTATGCATTTGATTAGTTCATTAAATATTTAAGTGATATGTAAAAAACTAAAATCAAATTTTTACATTTGTTTGAAACAACATTTTTTTATTTATCGTATTTTAAACATTTTTCGGAACGTCAATACACTATATATTCAAATAATAATAAAAAATGTAAAAATGGTAAAATATAATACCAAAATGTGTCAACAATTTTTGAGTGATAAATTTATTAAATAAGAACAGTTGAGTAGTAAACTTGTAATTATACTTAATAATTAATTTATTAAATTCTTATTACCGTATAATAGTTTAATTATTTATCAGAGAGATAAAAATAGTTACTTGAAAGTGTTATATGTTTTTTTTTTTTCACTCTTTCGCATCTTTCTATCTCTTATTTCTTTAGATCTTTCTTTTATCTTGTTTTCTTCAAAGCACAATATCATAAGATTATTTTTTTTATTATTATTATCAATCTTCTTTATGACTAACATGTTATAAAATAATTTTAAATCATGATAAAAAAAAGTTACTTCTATATACGATTAATAGAAATACAGATACCTATGCGATTTGTCCGTATTTTTATTATATATTTTATTTTAATTTATTAAAAATTAATGTATATATTAATTTTAAAATTAAAATATTGATTTTTTAAATTACGAATTAAGTTTTAAAAAGAGAATTGTAGATACGAGAAAGAGTTTAATAAAAACTAAAGATAATTTGTAATTATGAAATAAAATAATAATAATATTTTTATTTATTATTTTATATGTAGATATTTTTTAAATCTGGTTACAAAGAAATTCTTTTGTATGTTATTATAAATTATAGAGATGTGGCCCTATTAATTATTTATCAAAGAAAAAGAATAGAAGTGAAGTTTTAAAAACGAAGGAAGGAAGAAAGAAAGGTGAAAAGATTAGCAGGTTTAACTACAAAACTGTAGCAGTTTTTTTTTACTGTCCCAAACGGAACAGAAAAAATAAATAAAACGGTTTGTGCTTTAAAATTTGAATTTAAAAAGAAGATATCAAATGCCAACATGGCAGTGGGTCCCACCCACAACACAAAACAGTTGCGCTAAATTCTCTGTAGCACCAAATTTGAGTTTTGCCTTTCATCTTTTCCCGCTCTCCCTAACTTGACACGTGTCGGAAGGATACAACCTTTTAAATTCCCATCAAACGCGTTTTTTCTTGTATATATCATATCATATGAGTCCCAGAAACCACGACACCAACCAGTGAGTGTTGTTTTTCCATTCTGAAGCAGAAGATGGAAATGGAAGAATCCGTGAAGGAACAGCCCCTCTCCGCTGGTACTCTCTTGTACCCAATTCTGCAAATTTTATTTTATTTATTTTATGCATGCTTTGTGCAGAGTGATAGTGACAATAGTAATAGTCATGTCAAATTGGATATGACAATTCAACTATGTGGTGGTTCTGTTTCAGGGAATTCAGGGAGACCTAAACTTCAGAGGTACCCGCTACGATCGTCCTCTAAATCCAAGGAAAGCACACCAGACAATGTTTCTGATTCTAAAAGGTACTGTCTAATTTTTTTATTTATTTTTTTTGTTATAATGTTTGATCACGTAATTAGGTTTTTTCTGAATTGAGAGAAAAATTCATTTACTTATTATACTCTTGTTTTCAAACTATATTTGTAATTTTGAATTTTGATGTCACCAATTTGATTCTCATATGAATGGCATTCTCTACACCAATAACGAATATATAACATATGAATGGCATTCTCTACACCAATAACGAATATATAACATGTGATTCGATGTTGTTTTGGGGTTAACTAGTTTTGGGGTCTCTATAATGGGTATTTAGGGATTAGTCATGTATGAGAAAAAAAATCTTGAGTCGTTTCTATATTTTAATTATTACTACACGTTGTTCTTCTTGTTAATATGATTTTATAGTTCTCTTTAAACATAAGTTTAGTTACTATACAGCTTTTAGAGGGTAAAGTCAAGTTCTCTTCATTCACAAGGGCCAAATTATTAGTTTAATTTAATTTTTTCCCTCAACACTCTAATATGAAGATTTTTGTTCTGCTGTTTTATCTATCTAGCTTGTGTTTGGGAATTGGGACCACAATAATGTCGGAACTATGAAAGCTATGAATTCCCAGAATATTGTTCTTCTAAGTTCTGACATTGATTACAGTACTTTATAATTGTCTTGCTGTTAGCACTGTCCCCTCTCATGGCAACATGATAAGTGGCTTTTGTGTGAACTGTGAAATTGGAATATTGGTTAAAAAACCTCCTAAATTTGCAGAGGGTTAAGTACTCCACGTGTAAGCAGAAGTGTAGGTGGTCTTGATTTCTCCGGAAAGGACAAGTCTACAAGTTCTAAACCACCAAGGAGACTCTCCATTCCTGTCAGAGCCTCTCCTTCTCCAAATCCAAAGTTGATTGGCAACATTACCCAAATCTCAAAGAGCAGAAAAGTTAAGTATGGCAATGGCCAAGGGCCTCAAACCAGAAGTTTAACACCCGGATCTGACATTTCTAAAACATCCGGCCGGATGAAGTTCAATCTCCTATCTTCCTCTTCGTATTGGCTGAATCAGATCAAGCTCTCTGAATCTGCTGTTAAGCACTCAGTTTCTCTTGGATTCTTCAAACTTGCATGGGAAGCAAGGTGTGAGGTAACAACATATATATCAATAGACATTACAGACATAAATCAGTCATTTTCTGCATTTCAGTTGTCCTTCCTTAACTTCTTTAGGTTCAAATATATTCATTAAGTATCTTGTTTTTGTCTGCCAATGTTATCTGTATGGATTTGTAATTTGCGACAGTAAACACTGTCCTTGGCCTATTTTTTTGTTAATTAATTGAACCCTTTTCCCTTTCATGATTCTTTGGTTCGATGGCAACCACAGCCGTTCGCGAAGATGCAAGATGAGCTAAAATGTTATGTGCAAAGACATCAGCTTGCTGAACTTGGAGAAGTGAAAGAACTGCTTCAAAGCTATTGCAATACTGAAAATATAGAGCAGCCCCAAATTTCAGAAAGCATTTCGCAGGTGCTAGAGGAGGGAACTCGATCCTCTGATGATGAAGTACACTGCTCTTCTTCAACGATCATGGATACTGAAAAACTGAAACCCGAATCCTTGGAAACTGAATCCACTCAACTTACTCCTGTTAAAACAGAGACAACCAAGAAGGAAACTGAAGCCACTCAGCTTACTCCTGTTAATACAGAGACAACCATGAAGGAAGCTGAATCAACTCAACCTAACCCTGTTAAAACAGAGACAACCAAGAAGGAAACTGAAGCCACTCAACTTACTCCTATTAAAATAGAGACAACAATGAAGGAAACTGAATCCACTCAAGTAAGCCAAATGAATAATAACCCCGGATCCAGATTGAGAGAAAATCTCAAAAAGAACTCTGCAAATTCAAGACCTACTTCTGACAGTGGGAGCTCTAGGTTGGTTAAAAAATCAGAGAAGAAGAAGCCAACTAAGCAACAAACTAAGAAGGGAAAGATTGAGGTCAAGAAACAACAAAAGAAATCTGATGTAATTAAAGGCAAGAATGAAACAAAACAATATTTCTCTTTCAACACTGATGATTTTTATTTTTTTAGTTCAGCTAGTCTAACAAGACCTCATGATAATTTTCTTCCACAGTTCCAATCAGCCCTACAGGTACTGAAGACAATGCACAGGGAGACAAAGAAAATATGGTAAGTCAAATATAATTTTTGATAAAGTTGTGAAAATGTGACTAACATGTTTTGCCCGAGTAGGACGTTCAGTCAACTGATGAGATCAGTTTGTTCACAGAAGTCGCGTGAACAAGATTGCAGGTCTTAATTTTTGTAATTCTCAAACTTGCCTACAGTGTTTTTAATGTTTATTACCTACCCAGTTTGTCTCTTCATAGAAAAACAAATGAAAATTGTTGTCACCTTTTGCGGTCCAAGGTTGCGTTGAATATTTTGTGATTGTGTCTTGATGTGTAATTGTCTGTCAGACCATACTGTATTGAATATTCTAGTTTGTCTTGTCACAGGTGCTTTTATATAATATAATATTGCAAAGACAAATAGATTTCTGACATAGTTTGCATGTTGTTTATTTGTATATATATGTTTAAATTTGAACTTGATTCCAAAATATATGCTATAATATTTATCATCTTAATTAAAAATATTTTAACCTGAATCAAAGAATATGTATTATCTTTAGAAAAAGAAATTCGTGTGTTCTGGTATGTTTTAGACTTGGTAGTTTGCTTATTAAAGTGTGGGTTTGAATATATCATCAATTATGTTTAAAAGTTATTTTTTATTATAAAAATATAAAAGCATAATTTAATAAAAATATTTTTTATTATGCTTATAGCACATTATAATATTAATTGAATTATAAATTATTTTATATTATCCATATTGCTTTTTTAGAAGTGAACCATTAAGTTTTGTAATAGATCATCATCATAAATAATCTTGACCATTAAATTTATTAAAAATATAAAATTGTGCAGGGTTCATAATTTTTATCTATAATTTACTTTCTAATATTTTTGTACCAACAATTTTTTTAGAAGAATATAAAAAAAATGTTAAAGATGATAATAGACATATAAATTTGTTTTAAATATCAAATGTTCTCATATATGAAAATTAAAGGTTTTTTTTGACAACTAAAATCAAAATCCACTACTTATTCAAAACACATTTATGGCAAAACAAAATATCATTTTTTAATGTTTTATTTTTCACAAATTTTATGAAAAATATACGTCTTGCAGAGCAACTCTCAACGGGACGTTGAGACCTTTTGAAAAAAAAAAGATTTTTTTTGGCTTAATCCGACTTTACTTAAAGATCACTCGTTTGTATTCTGGCTAATAAGTAAGCCCTAATGTTTGTTACATTGCACGCCATTCAACCAGGGTTGTCAAACAATTGATTTATTACTCAATTTGATCAATTGCGCATTTGATCCCTAATTTGGTTTGATTATACTAATTAGGGATGAGAAGAACTGAACTAAATTCCATTTTATCTTTTTTATCCCTTTTCTTTTTTCACACTATTTTTGTGTAATAAAGGCTTAAGCATATTCATGTATTATTAGGTGGTTCTTATCCAAATCAGGTCGGGTCTAAAACAAGTAACTGGACCATGCTTAGACGGTCTTTTTTATTTAAGGTCATACACAGATCTAATAAAGTGTAACCTAGGTTATTTTGACACCTAGAACTGTGATAATCACCTCATTCACGGGCAGAAACAACGACTTCACGGTCACATCATAAGGTTGAAAGCATGATCCAACATGCAATGTGACAAGGACATCATTGAAATTGAAGCTAGTTTAATAAAGCTATCATAACCAATTCAGAAAACTACAACTTACAACATCCAATGCAAATTGACAGAATTCTATAATACATGAACTGACTGACATGGACAAAGCATAGACTAAGATTGATTAAAGATAAGATGATCCTAGCATTCAAAGCAGTAAGGAATATGCCATGAAATTGAGTAAGTTGGCACAATGACTTTTATAGGTAGCAGTGCAACCTAATTCATTACTTCAAAGGCCCACAAGCATTATGACGGGTGGTCCAGCTTAGTCAGCTGTCCAACTTTGCTCCACAATTTCTCTAACTCTTCGATTGTACTCGCGCTTGTTCTCACTAAACATTCGAGCTGCTTCTGAGTTTGCAGGAGAATTTGGGTTGGGATCACAAAGCAATGACTGCCACAGTAAAAATTGCCTTTCAGAATATAACAGTAATATAGCAAGGATGTAGGAGTAGAATCATGAAGCTAGCAATTTAGACATGCAAAATTACTTCTCAACCACCCTGGACTCTTGAGATATCACGGCCAGGTTATATTATCAGGAATATGCAACATTATCTTATCCATAATAAATGGTGTGCACTCTTGCAACAAGAATATACTGACATCATTGTCTGTTGTTACATTATTGTTATAAGAAAATGAAATCAAAACAGAAAAGAGGAGAGGAGTCTACTTCCAAAGGTTTTCCCATCACACAGTTGTCGCTTTCAGAACTACAAAAGCTCCATTTTATCAGACAATAAACAATTAACTGATGATCCATATTCTACTGCCACAATATCTAAGCTAACTGATCATGTTACTAACTCCAGTAACTTTGCGTTACTTATAAGGCTAATTAGTTAGCATTGCTGGGCCTTATTTATTTCCAATTATTCCTCTGATGTGGGCCCTATCATGATCCTAGCATAGGGAAACATCGGATCATGGTGCTTACCAAAGATATTTAATGTGCGAGATTTAAAATAAATAAAGAATACGAGTAAAACAACTGATATATGTGCCAACAATGGCCTTGTAGCAGTAGCACACGATTTACCGGGAAGCACACATACCATGTAAAAAATTCCCACTGTCCAATGAGTTCCAATATTCACATTTAGCCCGTCCTTAACATGGCTCTGTCATGCCTAGCACCTCCCTCTTAACCAAAATGAAAAACCCTCCCCCCCAAAACAAGTAAAAAATAAATGACATGCTTCTACCTTATATGTTTAGTTCTATGATTTAAATTAGTAAAAGATTCCACTAAGAAAAGTCCACCAAGAAGAGGATCCGAAATCCATCTAAGTACAATAAACATGAAGTGAGGGGGGATTGAAAATAGATCATATCTGAACCACCAATCCAGTCTCTTAACAGGTCCGAACTAAAAAATATTCTTTCAAGTCTCTTATCCCCGCAATCAAGAAAACTAAAAAAACGAATCTGTTCTATACAAATGTTAACACATTTAAAGGCTTAAAATTCTGGAATTACACTAGTCAATGAAATAAAAAAATAAAAATTTAGCATCCATCTATATGAAATGACTGAGAAACAATATAAGAATCATCAAAATTTGAGAGTGAGTAAATCAAAACAAAAATCCATGAGATTTGTAAAGAGAACAAGACAATGACAATCTTCTTAAAAAATCATGTTCCTGAATTGCTTACTCCATTTTCTGTTGAAATTATAAAATTAATGGTGTAAAAGTGAAAGTCAAAGTAACATTGCAAGTGAATCAAAACATGAATCAGCAAACGTTATGGGGCATTTAAAATGAATCGTAATTCCTTGAAGTAGCTCTTCAATAGACAAAAAGACATAAGTAATTTAAATAGCCACAGGACCTTGAATTAACTTGTGCAACATATTGATGTGGTCATGCTTAACTTGAGGCAAACAAAACCAGCCCTCAAGTGTGTAAGTAATTATGCAAATATAAGGTTGCGCTATCTTCTTTTTGTAATATACTAACAATGAAAAGAAAAGAAATGCAGAATTGTTGACTATATTATACAAGAGAATAATACCTGGATAGAAGTGAGAATTGCAGCTACATCATATATAGGACTCCATTGATTTTGCAATATATCCAAACAAATACTTCCATCCGCATAAACTTCTCAGAGAAGAGGAATGACATTAGTAGATAGATAGGTAACTTATGGATAAGAAGATTAATCTTTTCCACCTAAAACTTACTGTTTGGATGAAACATTCGAGAGACAAATCGTACAGTTGGTGGTTTGTTAGGATAATCCTCAGTAAACTGGAGAGTCAACTTAAACGTGCCTAAATAACTCAAAATATGAAGACATTGTTGAGATAGAGTTAAGAGAACAAATATAATTTCCAAGTATATGAATAAGGTTATCTGACTATGAGCACCCAATTTTCATTTAACTTTTCCAAACCATAATACAGCTTCACGAAGAAAGAAATTTTACTTTGATAGTCTAACAAAATATCCCTCTCTAGTAAATGTAAATGCAGTCTCTAATATAAACATAATAGGAATAAAAGTATTATTCCACTAAGTCATCACCTCTGACAGAAACATAAGATAATATAAAACTAATATATGACAACATAATAGACAGAAATTAGAATTTATACTGCCAAATCAGACACCCTAACAACGGTGACAACGAACTTCTTCCAAGATAGGAGTCATGGAAAAAGCAATCTCATCTAATATAACAGAACCGTTAGAGTTGCATGCAATGTACAAGATGGCTAAATAACTGAGTTGACATTTGTATCAAAATTGTTCTAAGATAGGAGCCACGGAAAAGGCAGACTCACCTCCATCCCATGGAGTATCATCAGGACTGCAATCCAAAGCAGACAAGAAAGCAGAAATTGCTTATCCATCCATACTAAAACAAAGCGAGGAGGAAAATAAAATAGTGCATCTTCTACCCAATTCAACTCACCCAAATATAACAGCATTCCACAGCATTATGTTGTTATCCTGAGGGGCACCACTGATTCCTGCAGGTGGATCCTGTTGCAGCCTCTTGAAATCTCTCATGAGCCTCTTCCTAGCAGGAGTCGACATTGCTACCACCAACAAAAAACTAAAAGCCACAAAGAGAAAACATAAAAGACATCAATTTTCTCTTCAACAACAACAAAAGATAGAGGCAAAACCTAGTTCAGCACTATGTGCATAAGAACACATTTGAATATATAATTCGAGAGTATAACTCGCAAAATTTTTACAATCATTCCTAGGGCAAGAAGTCATGCCAAATACATAAAAAATCAATTCATTTTTCACTAGTATCGTACTAAATCATCATCGGAAACGTAACAACCCCCAAAATAAAATAAAAAAGTGAGAAATTCCAAGGAAGATTGAATAAAGGGGGCTTTGATGCAGATCCACCCTCTGTACGAATCATCCACAATTCAGGTCATAACAAACACAAATTCGAACAAGACAACGAAATGATAAATAAATGATAAAAAAACCAAGTAAT